GCCCTGTGGCTCAAGTGGTAGAGTGCTAGCCTTGAGCTGAAGAGCTGAGGGACAGCACCCAGGCCCAGAGTTTAGGCCCCACGACTGGACCCCCCCAAAAAAAGATAAAATGTTGCCCTAAAAGAAAAATAATCTAGGTCTGGGAAGGTGGCTCAGTGGTAGAGTGCTTGCCTTGCATGCATGAGGCCCTGGGTCCAATTCCTTAGCACCACGTAAACAGAAAAAGCGAAAGTGGTACTGGCTCAAGTGGTAGAGAGCTAGCCTTGAGCTGAAGAGCTGAGGGATAGCGCCCAGTCTCAGAGTTCAAGCCCCACAACTGACCAAAAAAAAAAAATCTAGAGTTTTGCTGTCCAAGACACTCTCCATTTACCATATGAGGCTACTTAAAGTGAAAATGAATGCCAATTATTAGAGATGTTTAAATTTTTCAGTACCTTAATTTTACTAGTTACAGTAAAGTCACAAGTAAACAAGATGTGTGCGCGCACACATGTGCACACGCGCTGCTCCTAGAACTTGAATCTGGGCCTGGGCACTGTCTCTTAGCTTATTTTGCTCAAGATTAGCACTCTACCACTTGAGCCAGAGCTTCACTTCTGCCTTTTTGGAGGTTAACAGGATAATAATCTCATAGATTTGCTGCCTAGAAAGGCTTCGAACCATGATCCTCAGATATCAGCCTCTTTTTTTTGGGGGGGGGGACCGGTCGTGGGGCCTGAACTCTCGGTCTGGACGCTGTCCCTCAGCTCTTCAGCTCAAGGCTAGCGCTTTACCACTGTGAGCCACAGCGCCACTTTCCGGCTTTTTTCGTTTTTGCTTATGTGGTGCTGAGGAATCGAACCCAGGGCCTCAGGCATGCAAGGCAAGCGCTTCTACCACTGAGCCAACTTCCCAGCCCAGATATCAGCCTCTTGAGTAGTGAGGATCACAAGTGTCAGCCACTGGTACCTGGCTTGTTAGTATTGGTTTGTTTTTCTTTTTTGGGTCCAGTTGTGGGGCCTGAGCTCTGGGCCTGGGCCCTGCCCCTCAGCTCTTCAGCTCAAGGCAAGCGCTCTACCACTTGAGCCACAGTGCCACTTCCGGCTTTTTTTCTTTTTGCTTATATGGTGCTGGGGAATTGAACCCAGGGCCTCATGCATGCAAGGCAAGCAGGCAAGCGCTCTACCACTGAGCCACCTTCCCAGCCCCGTTAGTATTGGTTTTTAAAGGTCTTTATTAGCATGGGTTCATTTTATAAGAGCGGGTTCACTGTGGTATTTTCATATATGCATACAATATACCCAACAATGTCATACCCTTTATCACTCTCTCTCACCTTCTGCCTCTTCCCCTCCTTCAAACAATTCCAACAGGTTTTTTGTTCTATTTTTTTTATTTTTTAGCCAATCCTGGGGCTTGAACTCAGAGCCTAGGCACTGTCCCTGTGCTCAAGGCTAGCTACTCTACCACTTGAACCACAGTGCCACTTCCAGCCTTTTCTGGGTATGTGGTATTTAGGAATCGAACCCAGGACTTCATACATGTGAGGCAAGCATTTTTTATATAAAAGTATATATAAAAGAGTAATGTTGACAGCATTATAAGAGAACATTGATTCTTTCTCCAAGGATTTCAGTAAATAATTTTTTCTTTCTTTTTTTTTTGGTTCATTTTGGGGCTTGAGCTCTGGGCCTGGGCGCTGTTCCTCAGCTCTTCAGCTCAAGGAGCGCACTCTACCACTGGAGCCACAGAGCCATTTCTAGTTTTCTGGTGGTTTATTGGAGATAAGAATCTCTCAGGGACTTTCCTATCTGGGTTGGCTTTGAACCGCTATCCCCAGATCTCAGTCTCCTGAGTAGCTAGGATTACAGTGTCAGCTACTGGCAACCAGCTTTTTTTTTTCCCCCTAAATTTTCAAGGTAAGGTTTCACTATGTAGCTCAGGCTAACCATGAATTCACAATTAATCCCCCTGTCTCGGCCCTCTGAGTCCTGGAATTATACTGCAGTTCAGTAAAGGTGTTCTTACAGATTGTCTGAAAGATGCTTGGATGTATGTGCATGCAAATAGGTGTTTGGGGGCAGTATGTGGTTTGAGCTCAGGGCCTTGGGATTTCTAGGCAAACTCTTGAAGTTCACCTCCATCCAGCGTGATATGTTTTGAAAGACCACAAGGTGGCACTATTGTTCTTTAAGTTATGACAGCATCATTTCCTCCTTCAGGAAAAGCAGTACAGAAAGGTCAGTAAAGCTGCCATCTTAGCTGTAGTGTTCTTTTAACCTTGAGATAGCCATTTGCTTTGAACTTAAAATTGCAGCATTTTCTACAACTTTTGAATGCTGCTTATTAAGTTACAAATCAGTATTGGAGTGTCTAGGGTGTTATTTTAGAAAAATAAAACAATATTGATTCCTAAAATATTTTTAAAAGAAAATAATGAGCCATAAAGTACAATAGATCTACATTTTAAGTGAGGATCATGGCCCAGTGGTAGAGCACTTACCTAACAAGTGCAAGGCCCTGAGTTCAAGCCCCAGTAAAAAAAAATGCCATAATTTATATTTGGATTTCAGCACTTTTTTTTTTTAATTGGTCGTGGGGCCTGAACTCAAGGTCTGGGTGCTGTCCCTGAGCTCTTCAGCTCAAGGCTAGCACTCTACCACTTGAGCCATAGCAGTACTTCTGGCTTTTTCTGCTTATGTGGTGCTGAAGAATCAAATCCAGGGCCTCATGCATGCAAGGCAAGCACTCTACCACTGAGCCACCTTCCCAGCCCCTTCAGCACGTCTTTTGACAGGCAGAAAATTTGTCTAGACAGATGGCTCAGCCATTAGGCAGCAAATCAAGACATGTCTGGCCTTGGAACTAAGTTAGTCCTAGCCTTCAGCATTGGCGGAAGTCTAGCCAGAACACATCAGTTTGTTTTCAGAAGGGTTAAGTAAGCCCAGAACGTGGACAGTGCTGCCAGTGGGCCTTCAAAAACTTCTGGGACAGGAAGTGTCCAGTTCAACACCCAGGGTTATACCTGGAAGTTGAAGAGCTTACACCCCTGAGAGGGGGCTGAAGACCTGTGCTTATTAGCCTTTGGCGGAAGGCAAGTGAATCAAGGACTCAAGGTCAACATGGATGGAAGCCAAGGAAGAAGCCATTGTAGAGGTTTTGAGGTTTAATTTGATTCTGAAAATCACAAAAGTAATGAAGGTCATTTTTTTCCACTCACCCTAAAAGTTACTTGGTTTTCTATTACATCTGGAACTCAGAGGAAGTTGGAAGTGTTGGAAGATATAAAACAACATAAATAAAACCACAGTATTTGGCTTTTTGTTGTTATTTCTTTGTTTCTTTTCTTTTTCTCTGTTGGGGATTTAGTCCAGGGACTTTGCTCATACGAAGCAAATGCTTTTACTGCTGAGCTGTAGCCTGAGGCCAGAATTTGGCTCTTTAAAGACTGCATAGCTCATACTATAATTCTTTCAGCTTTTACTGTAAGGTCTTTGTTATACTTCCTAAATATAAAGTTCTTGATTTTAGCTGGAGGAGAGCAGGAATGTCCAGAAGCAAATGAAGATTCTGCAGAAGAAGCAAGCCCAGATTGTGAAAGAGAAAGTTCACCTGCAGAGTGAACACAGCAAAGCTATCTTGGCAAGAAGCAAACTGGAGTCTCTCTGCAGGGAACTTCAGCGACACAATAAGACTTTAAAGGTTAGTATGTTGGTTTTTCTGTTTGTTTTTTGTAAGAGGAACTTACTCAACTGGTTTTTATAGTTACCTTATACCTGTTTGAAATGAAGCCATGTCTCTGCTTGGGCTGGTATATGTGAGCTAGTAACAGTTTTTTCCTATGTTGTACTATCCCATTTAAGGAACGAGGCCTTTGTTAGTTCCCTCATTCTTGGTCCCACGTAGTCTACATCCTGATGTTTATATCTGTTGCTCTCTTAAGAAGCTCAGAGTTGCCAGCTTTCTGCTGTGTGCCAGTAGAGCTGACAACCATGAACACAGAGCTGCTATGAAGTGAGAAGCTAGTAAGGGACTTGAGACAGTGAATCTGAGAAGGGAGAACTGCTGAGATAGACTTGCCTGAGTCTCCTGGCCTACATCTAGCTCTTTGATGCTGAGTACTTTGATAGTACAGCTATACTAAGACCAATTATAAAGGAGGAATAAGCATATATCTTAAGTTCAATTGGTATCCACAGGGAATGAGGAAAAAGCAGAACCATGTGAAGGAATCTGTCTTAAACAGTGGGACAGACCTGCCCTTGAGTATATATACTGTAGTAGCACTTTGAGTAGGTTTTATTTTCTTTCTTTCTTTTTTTTCTTGTGCTGGTTCTTGGGCTTGATCTCAGGGCCTAGGCACTGTCCCTGAGCTTCTTTTGCTCAAAGCTAATGCTCTACCACTTGGGCCAGAGCTGTGTTTTTGGAGTTTTTGGTAGTTTAGTGGCAATAACAGACTTTCCTGCCCAGCTGGCTGCAAACTGCGATCTTCAGATCTCAGCTTCCTGAGTAGGTAGGATTTTGAGTCAATGTATTTAGCTCTTAATTAAAGCAGATGGTGTTTTTCCTTCACAAAAAGTCATTTTGAGTAGACAGGTAAAGGTCTTGACACACAACCTAGCAAGAATTAATATTAAGTTGTTTTTTTTTTTTGTGTGTGTGTGTGTGTGTGTGTGTGTGAATTAATATTAAGTTGGGTTTTTTTGGTGTGTGTGTGTGTGTGTGTGTGTGTGTGTGTGTGTACATACATACCTGTCCTGGGGCTTGAGCTCACAGCCTGAGCTTTTTGCTCAAGACTAGGGCTCTACCACTTGAGCCACAGTTCCACTTCCAGCTTTTTTGTAGCTAACTGGAGATAAGAGTCTCACAAACTTTCTTGCTGCAGCTGGCTTTAAACTGCAATCCTCAGATCTCAGCCTCCTGAGTAGCTAGAATTACAGGGGTGGTGCTCAGCAGTATTGTCTTTATTAATATGTTAATAATAATAATTATTATTATTTTTGGAGTACTGGGTTTAAACTCAGGGCCTAACGTTTGTTAGAAAGGCACTCTACCATTTGAGCCATCCCCTTGGTTGCCTTTAACATTTAGTTACTTTTCAAGTAGGGTCTTGTATTTTTGCCGGGCTCACCTGGACCCACAATCCCTGGAGTATAGCTGATGGACTTTTCTGCCTGTGCGGGCTTTGAACCTTGATCTTAGAACTCAACTTCCTGAGTAGCCAGGATTACAGGTGTTAAGCCACTCTTACCCAACTCCTTAAACTTTTTTTTTAGCTCAGGCCTGGGGCTTGAATTCTGGGCCTGGGCACTGTCCCTCAGCTTTTCAGCTCAAGGAGAGCACTCTACCACTTGAGCTACTGCACCACTTCTGGTTTTCTGAGAGGTTTATTGGAGATAAAAGTCTCCCGTCCGGGCTGTCTTTGAACCTCGATTCTCAGATCTCAGCCTCCTGAGGAGCTAGGATTACAGGCGTGAGCCACCGGCACCTGGCCAGTGCTTTACCACTGCAATGCCACTTTCACCACTTCTGATTTTTGAGTGGCTAATTGGAGATAAGAGTCTCCTAGACTTTCCTACTTGGGGAGGCTTCGAACAACCATCCTCAGATGTCAGCCTCCTGAGTAGTGAGGATTATAGGCGTGAGCCACCTGCTCCTGCCTCAGTAAGCTTTTTAAAAATGTTATTTGTCTCTTGCCCTGTCAGTAGTGGAAGGTGTGACCCAGAAATTAACTTCAGGAGGGGCTCTATTGGGCTGATATAAAGTCATGTTCTATGTGATCAGTGAAGAGGGGGTTGGAGCATGAAGAAGCTTTAGATAGTTGTATCACACTTGTAATGATATAAGCGACAGTTTGTGTCTCATTTTTTATTTTTTTGTGATGTGCCTGTGCTTGAACTCAGGGCCTGAGTGCTGTCCTTGAGCTTTCTTGCTCAAGGCTAACACTCAAGCACTTGAGCCACACCTCCGCTTTTGATTTTTTTTTGCCAACCCTGGAGCTTGAACTCAGGACCTGGGCACTGTACCTGAGCTTCTTTTCCTCAAGGCTAGCACTCTACTAGTTGAGCCACAGTGCCACTTCCAGCTCTTTCTGTTTATGTGGTACTAAGGAATCGAATCCAGAGCTTCATGCATGCGAGGCAAACAATCTACCACTAAGCCATATTCCCAGCCCCACTTCCGAATTTTGTTGTTGTTGTTGTTGTTTGTGGGGCTTGGACACTGTCCCTGTGCTCTTCAGCTCAAGGCAAGTGCTCTACCGCTTGAGCCACAGCACTACTTTCTGGTTTTTTGGTGGTTTATTGGCGATGAGTTTCACGGACCTTCCTGCCACTTTCCTGCCAGCGCTGGCTTTGAACCATGATCCTCAGATCTCAGCCTCCTGAATAGCTAGGATTATAGGCATGAGCCACCGGCGCCTGGCCCACTTCTGAATTTTTTGATGCTTAATTGGAGATAAGTCTGATGAACTTTTCAGCCTGGGCTGACTTCAAAACCTTAGCCTCCTGAATCACTAGGATTATAGGCATGAGCCACCAACTATCAGCGTTGTGTTTCACAACTATTTGGGAAAAGACTGGCTTTTTTTTGGTGTACTAGCATTTGAACTTAGGATTTCATGCTGCTAGGCTGGCATTTTACCACTTGAACCACAGCTCCAACCCTCATTTGCTGTTGTTTTTGTTAGTTGTGGGGCTTTATCTCAGGGCCTGGGTGCTGTCCCTTAGCTCTTTTTTTTGCCAATATCTAGTGCTCTACCACTTTGAGCCACAATCCCACTTCCAGTTTTCTGGTGGTTAATTGGAGATCCTCACAAACTTTCTGACTGGGTTGACTTTGAACTGGGATCTTCAAATCTCAGCCTCCTGAGTAGCTCAGATTACAGATGTGATCCACCAGCACCCAGACTTTTGGTGGTTATTTTTCTTTTTTCTTTTTGTCTATCATGGGGCCTGGGCTCTATCTCTCAGCTCTTCAGCTCAAGGCTAGCACTCTACCACTTGAGCCACAGCACCACTTCCGGCCTTTTCTGCTGATGTGGTGCTGAGGAATCGAACCCAGAGCCTCATGTATGCAAGGCAAGCACTCTACCGCTGAGCCACCTTCCCAGCCCCTTGGTGGTTATTTTTGACCTAGAGTCTTGTGAACTTTTCTGCCAGGGCTGCTCCTGAGGATCTTGGATTACAGGCATGAGTCAGTGGCAACCATCTCACTTACTTTTAAGTGAGAACCTTTTGGTCCTAAGGAAGAGGAGCTAAAGCTCAGAAGCAACATGTCAGGGCAGCAGTAGCGAACCTGCATTACAGCTGCTGCTTCTGTGAGCATCCTGTCTATAGATCTTCACTATTAACAGAAATTATTTTGGGAATTAAGGAAGAAAATATACAGCAAGCCCGAGAGGAAGAAGAACGCCGTAAAGAAGCAACAGCCCATTTCCAGATTACTCTAAATGAAATCCAAACCCAGCTGGAACAACATGACATACACAATGCCAAACTCCGGCAGGAGAACATCGAACTGGGAGAGAAGCTGAAGAAGCTCATTGAGCAGTATGCACTGAGGGAAGAGGTAACAGCTCTCTGTTGGTTTAGCCATCTACTCAACTAGGAAAACCCTCTCCATTCACTACTGCAGTAAAACTACTGCCACAGGAGTGGCTGTTTTAGAACATAAGGGTAGTTACTAGGAAAAAAAAATGACCAAGAGGATTAGTTAGACTCATCATGTAATGGCCTGCAAGTCTGTAGATTTGGCTAGGTGAGAGAATTTCTAGCAGGTTGTTACGAGCTGCACATCTTCCATGTGATACTGCAAGATGGCATTTTCACATCCAGATCATCTTCCTTACCTGATACCTGTATCAGATATTTATGATCATCAGAGTATCTATGGACATTTGCATTACAGTACTTAAGATACTCGTTTTTTTGTGTGTTTTTTTTGAGTCAGAATCTTGCTATGTTGCCTAACCTGGTCTTGAACCTGTGAGCTCAAAGGATTCTCCTGCTGCAGCCTCCTGGGACCATGAGCATGTACAAACTATGCCCAGTTTTAAAAGAAATTATTTTCAGTTTTTTTGCTCTGTCTGAGGGTCAAACCCAGGGCCTTAGTTGTGCTAAGGTTTTCTACCACTTAGCTACACTCTGTCCTGTTCTTTATTTACTTTCAGGTTTGGGGACATGCTATGTTAGCTGTCTATCACTGAGCTATCACACAGCCCCAGATTTTTTTTATTATTTTTTTTTTGGGTCCGGTCGTGGGGCCTGAACTCTGGGCCTGGGCGCTGTCCCTCAGCTCTTCAGCTCAAGGCTAGCACTCTACCACTTGAGCCACAGCGCCACTTCCGGCTTTTTTCATTTTGCTTATGTGGTGTTGAGGAATCGAACCCAGGGTCTCATGCATGAAAGGCAAGTGCTCTACCACTGAGCCATCTTCCCAGCCCCATGATTTTTTTCTTTTTCTGATAGTCTAACTACATAGCTCAGACTGAACTTGAAGTCTCCATCTTCTTGTTTTAGTCTTTGGAGTACGGAAATTACAAGTGTATGCCACTATACCTAGTTTATTCTTTTGTTGTTGTTGTTGTCAGTCATGGGACTTGAACTCGGGCTGGGTGCTGTCCCTTAGCTCTTCAGCTCAAGGCAAGCGCCCTACCACTTGAGCCACAGGGCCACTTCCAGTTTTCTGGTGGCTTATTGGAGATAAGAGTCTCACCAACTCCTTTCCTGCCCGGGCTGGGTAGCTAAGATTATAGGTGTGAGCCACCAGCGCCTGGCTAACCTTAGTTCTTTTTTTAAAAAAAAGAGTTTTGCTTACTCTCACCATGCTTCACTTTTTTTTCTAGTCCTGGGGCTTAAACTCAGGGCCTGGGTTTTACTCAAGGCTAGCACTCTACCACTTAAGCCACAGCACCACTTGCAGCTTTTTCTGTTTATGTGGTACTAAGGGTACTGAAGGTACTGAAACCTGGGGCTTGCTAGACAAGCACTCTACCAATAAGTCACATTCCCAGCCTCATACTTCACTTCTGTTTGTTTCTTTGGTGTTGGGAATGAAATCCACGACCATCTTGCACCTACTGGGCGTGTCCTCTACCACTGAGCTTCACCCCAGGATTCTATTTTTTGGTGTGTGTGTGCCAGTACTGAGGTTTGAACTCAGGGCCTTGCATTTGGCCTTTTTGCTCATGGCTGATGCTCTACTGCTTGAGTCCATGCCTCCACTTGTGGCTTTTTGCTGGTTAATGGGTTTTGTCAGCCTGAACTGGCTTTGAACTGCCATCTTCAAAGCTCAGATTCTCAGTTTTCAGTAGTTAGGATTATAGGCATAAGCACTCAAAACCAAGCTCCTAGTGTGTTTTGACTCCTTAAATTATCCATCTATGTATGTTATATATAGTATATATTATGCATATATGTGATGTATATAATATATATTATGGATAGAAACACCAAGAACATGATTCTAATTATGGGGCCATGTAAGAGGATGAGAGCAAGGGGAGAGGGAAAGGAAAGATGAAGGGTGAATAATTTCAAACACAGTATAACTATGTATGAAGAATGCCTAAAAATCTCAATGAGAGCTATTGATTAATAGGATTTTGAGGTGAAAAAGAGAAAGCAATAGAGAAGGAGATTCTGAATAAAACATAACAGATGCACAGCTGAAATACCATAATGAGCCCCCTTGGTGGTCATTAATACATACTAAAAATAACAATGAATGACAGGAAAGTAAATCAGGCTCAGATGGGGGAGCTGAGCATCACCAAGAGAGGAGGGCTCAGGAAAATGTTGGAGAGGAGTATGGTGCATACAGTTTATTTGTGTGTATGAAAACAGATACGTGGAACCTGTTGGAATTGCTTTAAGGGGGAGTGGGATGGGAGGCGAGGTGGTAAGATAAGGTTTATTGAGATTCATTGAGTGGAAAGGTCACAATGAAACCTCACTTGACTAACTGATATTTGCTAATAGGAAACAGGAAAAATGTTAAGAAAAAAATGCTAGCTTAAAAAAAAGAGAATATAAAAAGACGGGCGCTGGTGGCTCACGCCTGTAATCCTAGCTACTCAGGAGGCTGAGATCTGAGGATCGCGGATCAAAGCCAGTCCAGGCAGGAAAGTCCAAGATTCTATTATCGCCAATAAACCACATGGAAACTGGAAGTGGTGCTGTGGCTCAAGTGGTAGAGGGCCTGCCTTGAGCTGAATTGCTGAGGAACAGTGCCCAGGCCCAGAGTTCAAGCCCTACAACCGAGCCCCCCCCAAAAAAAATATTACCTGGTTTTAGCAGATGACATCAGTTTCATCCATATTTCTCTACATTGTTTAAAAGCAATCCAAAGTGTTCTATTTTTCCACTCACAGATACTGGAATGGATAGCTTAAAGGAGTGTGTGTGTGTGTGTGTGTGTGTGTGTGTGTGTGTGTGTGTGTGTGTGTGTGTGTGTGTGTGTGTGTGTGTGTGTGTGTGTGTGTGTGTGTGTGTGTGTGTGTGTATAGCTTAAAGGAGTGTGTGTGTGTGTGTGTGTGTGTGGATAGCTTAAAGGAGTGTGTGTGTGTGTGTGTGTGTGTGTGTGTGTGTGTGTGTGTGTGTGTGTGTTCGTTCCTGGGGCTTCACTCAGGGCCTGGATGCTGTCCTCATGCTTCTTTGCTTACAGCTACTGCTCTATTACTTGAGTCACAGCTCCACTTCCGGCTTTTTGTTTTCACTTGGAGATAAGATTCTCGCAGATTTTCCTGCCCAGGCTGACTTCAACCAAAACCCTCAGAGCTCAGTCTCCTCAGTAGCTAGGATTACAGGCTTGAGCCATTGGTGCCCAGCTAAGATTCTTTTTATTTTTGGGTCCGGTCGTGGGGCCTGAACTCTGGGTCTGGGCACTGTCCTTCAGCTCAAGGCTAGCACTCTACCACTTGAGCCACAGCGCCACTTCCAGCTTTTTTCTTTTTGCTTATGTGGTGCTGAGGAATCGAACCCAGGGTCTCAGGCATGCAAGGCAAGCGCTCTACCACTGAGCCACCATCCCAGCCCCCTAAGATTCTTTTTTTTTTAAATAAACATTTTGTTGGTACTAGGGTTCAAACTCATGACCTTGAGCTTGGTAGGCAAGCACATTGACATTTGAGCTGCACTCCCAGCACCGTTCCTTTTAACCATAACCATAATAACATTTTCATACCTAAACACTTAACAAGAATTTCATACTAAGTATCTGGTCATGTTTAAAATTTTCTGCTTAATCTCCTTTTTAAAAAAGAAGTTGGATTAAAATCCAAATTCAAAAGCTGTCCATTTCACTGGTTTCTATCAGGTCTCAGAAATAGGTTTCTTATTCCTTTTTTGTATGGTTGCTGTTTTTATTCATTTATGCTTTTTGGGGGGAGGGGGTCAGTCATGGGGCTTGACCTCTGGGTCTGGGTGCTGTCCCTCAGCTCTTCAGCTCAAGGTGAGCACTCTACCACTTGAGCCACAGCACCACTTCTGGTTTTCTGGTGGTTTATCAGAGATGAATCTCACAGGTGTTCCTACCTGGGCAGGCTTTGAACCGAGATCCTCAGATCTCAGCCTACTGAGTAGCAGGATTACAGGTGTGAGTCATGGCACCTGGCCATTTATGTATTTTTTTTTGGGTCCAGTCATGGGGCCTGAACTCTGGGCCTGGGCGCTGTCCCTCAGCTCTTCAGCTCAAGGCTAGCACTCTACCACTTGAACCACAGCGCCACTTCCCGCTTTTTTCTTTTTGCTTATGTGGTGCTGAGGAATCGAACCTCATGCATGCAAGGCAAGTGCTCTACCACTGAGCCACCTTCCCAGCCCCCATTTATGTATTTTTTAATGCCAATACTGGAGCATGAACTCAGGGTTTCCCATACTTGCTTAGCTTTTCTGCTCCAAGCTAATGTCATGCCTCTACTTCCAGCTTTTGTTTTCTAGTTAATTAGAGATAAGAGTGTCAGATTTTCTTTACAATAAAAAAAGTCTCAGATTTACCTAGGCTGGCTTTGAACCTCAGCCCTCAGATCTCAGTTTCCTGAGTAGCTAGGATAATAGTAGCTATGAGCCACTGGCACCAGGCTTCTTGTTTTTTTTTTTTGTTGGAGAGTATTCTCTCTCTCTCTCTCTTTCTCTCTCTCCCTCCCCCGTCTCTCTCTCTCTTTGGTCTTTGAGCTTCAATTTTCTTATAATTTAATTCATAAAGCCTTATTTTTCTTACAATGATTCCTTTAGGGCTGGGAAGGTGGCTCAGTGGTAGAGCGCTTGCCTTGCACACCTGAGCCCCTGGGTTCAATTCCTCAGCACCACATAAGCAAAAAGAAAAAAGCCGGAAGTGGCGCTGTGGCTCAAGTGGCAGAGCACTCACCTTGAGCTGAAGAGCTGAGGGACAGCGCCCAGGCCCAGAGTTCAGGCCCCACAACCGGACCCAAAAACAAAAACAAAAACAACAATGATTCCTTTAGTTTTATTGTTTAATACTACAATCTACTTCTGTATAGATGTAGCAGATTTGAAAATGTCATCTTTAAATCATACTACTTAGGATTCTTACTTATTTTGAATCGCACAGGATGTATTTCCTTTGTAAGGAAACAACTGTGATGAGATCACTTGCAGATGAAGAGAAATCCTCTGCTGCTGTCCTCGCACACAGTGGCTGCCTTATTCCCCACTATTATACCTGGGAGCTTCCTGGTCTTCTAGCTTCTTTTCTTTTTGTACTAATCCTGGGGCTTGAACTCAGGGCTTTGACGCTGTCCCTGAGCTTTTGTGCTCAAGGATAGCTCCTCTTTTAGCTTTTTTGGTGGTTAATTGGAGATGAGAGTCTCCCAGACTTTCTGGGCTGGCTTCAAACTGCAGTCCTCAGAGCTCAGTATTCTGAGTAGTTAGGATTACAGGCATGAGCCTCTGACACCCAGCTTCTTTGAAAAGGTTTGTTTTGAGATGGTTTTTGTGTACATAATCACATGATAATTTTGTTTGGAGATACAATAATGTTTTACCAAATGTCTGATACATGCCAGGCACCAAGCATTTCGCGTGCTTCCACCATTACATTCACAGTTCCGTCACCATTCTGCCAGGCGAGTGTGGTCAGATGCCTCTCTTTAGGCTCAGAAGGCTCAGAGTTTGTCCAGAGCCATGCCCCAGAAGGGCCTTAACTGCTGCCATTTGTACCATCACATGCTGCCACTAGCTGAGAACTTGGGAGTGTCTAACAGGTAGAAGAAAGGAATGAATGTTCAAGTTGTATGAATTTAATGACTTAATTTTCTTACCTGTCTTAGTTTTCATGTAGTTGGAGCCTTATCTTCAACACAGGGCAGAACCAGGATTGCAAAGCTAGTGATGGAGACAGCCCAGCTTTGACAGCTGGCCACAGGGCATGGGTCCTGTGCTCTGGGGACAAAAAGCCCCCTGTGCTCTTAGCTGTGGTGGTATTAATGGGAAAGTAGAGCAAGAAGGTTGTAACTGCAGTTTGTTCTGCACCGTGTGCCCCTTTGCTCATGAAGTGATGGAAGGAATTTGGCTTTTCCCGTAGCATATTGATAAAGTGTTCAAACATAAGGAGCTCCAGCAACAGCTTGTGGATGCCAAACTTCAGCAGACAACGCAGCTGATAAAAGAAGCTGATGAAAAACACCAGAGAGAGAGAGAGTTTGTAAGTTCTATTTCTTTAAAAAGATGTTGCTAAAATCATAAGCTGAACTCTAAAACATTTAAACTTACTCTATATGCATTATTGTCTCTGGGGCATGCTACTTGTTTTTGTTTGTTTTTGTTTTGCCAGTCCTGGGTCTTGAACTCTGGGCTTAGACACTGTCCCTAAGCCTCTTTGTGCTCAAGACTAGTGCTCTACCACTTGAGCCACAGTGCCACTTCTGGCTTTTTCTGAGTAGTTTGTTGGAGATAAGAGTCCCATGGACTTTTTGCCCAGGCTGGCTTTGAATTATGACCCTCAGATCTCAGCCTCCTGAGTTGCTAGGATTACAGGCATGAGACATCATTGCCAAGGATTAGAAATAATTTTTAACAGAATTCATTGTTGACCTAAAAGCTCACTCTTGTTCTCAGATTGAATGCTCTAATGTTATTGCCTATTAGTAATTGTAAATGTAATAGCATTTTTTTGGCTACAGATATTCAGTATATGGAAATTCTGCTTTATGCACTTGTTTAATACAAACAAGTATTAAACCTGAGAAACGATGATACTAATTTGGACGATTGCATCCAACACTGACTCAAATAGACCAGGTCCCCAGATGGGTGCAGTGTAAAGACTTGCTTCCTTAGTGATTTCATGTCATCAATGTGCATGCGGGGAGTCTAGGATTTAGAGACGTTATTCACACAAAAAATGTGGTCCCTTCTGTATCTACTCAAAGTGGGATCCAGTGCTCAACTGAAAAATGACTATTATTTCTTAAGTTACAGAGTATAAATTTTGCACACACATAGTCACGTGTTTCAGGCACGTAGTTTCGGTTTCAGTAGTTTTTCAGACTTCTTTGGACTATATGTGATACTGTATTTCAAAGACAGTTTCACAATTGCTTAGTGTGTTCTTGAAAACCTCAGTGTATAAATGAGAGCTCCTATTTCTTCTTAACCTGATTTTTTTTTCCCCATTGGGCTTGAACTCAGGGCTTGGGCACTGTTCCTGAACTCTTGCTCAAGGGTAGCGCTCTACCACTTTGAGCCACAGCTCCACTTCCAGTTTTTGAGTGGTTAATTGGAGATAAAAGTCTCACAGGGCTGGGAAGGTAGCTCAGTGGTAGAGTGCTTGCCTTGCATGCATGAGGCTCTGGGTTCGATTCCTCACCACCACATGAGCAGAAAAAGCCGGAAGTGGTACTGTGGCTCAAGTGGTAGAGTGCTAGCCTTGAGCTGAAGAGCTGAGGGACAGCGCCCAGGCCCAGAGTTCAGGCCCCACAACTGAATGCCCCCTCCCTGCCAAAAAAAGGCTCACAGACTTTCCTGCCCAGGCTGGCTTTGAGCCGTGATCCTCAGATTTCAGCTTCCTGAATAGCTAGGATTACAGGTATGAGCCACTAAGGCCAGGCTGCCTTTTTTTTTTTTTTTAAAAACAAAGCATATAGAAACTGGTTCTTAGATTTCATTGCTTTGCTCTTCAGCCTTTTACTCTTTTGCTTTTGGACTAAAGTGGCTTTCTCTGTCATGTGAATGATGTTGAGATTCCTAGCTATATTTTCTCTTCATATTACACATGCAGTTATTTTCCCCTAAAATGTAATAATTTAGTCCTGAATTTTGTAAATCTTTTTAGGCCTCCTTGGTACTTTTGCTACTTAAGTAGTAAGACTACAGGTAAATGACAATTGATAGAATAATTACATCTGTAGTGGTACTTCCTAAAAATAGCTGGAGGATGTAGCCTAACTGTTTGGTCATTTGATGTGGTCCTATTTGTTATTACTATTAGTATTTTGCCAATTGTTTCTGTTTTCTAGCTATTAAAAGAAGCAACAGAATCAAGGCACAAATATGAACAGATGAAACAGCAAGAAGTACAACTGAAACAACAGGTAACTTGACAGCAGGTGATAGAATTTGTAAGAAAAACCTATGGTTTTCAGTGTTCTCTAATGTGATTTTGCCTGTTCCAATCCACACCTGACTGAAATGAAGGAAGAGATCATGTTTCCTCTTCCTTTGTTGTATGTGTGTGTGTATACATGTGTGTGTACGTGTGTGTACACATGTGTGTGTGTATACATGTGTGTGCACACACCCCAGTCCTGGGGCTTAAATTCAATGCCTGGGTGCTGTCCCTGAGCTCTTTTTCTCAGAACTAGTGCTCTACAATTTGAGTCACAGCTCCATTTCTGGCTTTTTGTTTTATTTGTTTGTTTGTTTATTGTGATCAATTGGAGGTAAGAATCTCAGACTTTACTGCCTGGGCTGGCTTTAATTGCAATCCTCAGATCTCAGCCTCCTGAGTAGTTAGGATCATAAGGTTTGAGCCGCTGGTATCTGGCCTGATTTCTGTTCTGTCACTGTACACTATCTGTTGTCTGGGCTACCTCGAGTCTTGTTACCAGTCATCTTTTCCCTCTGCAGTGCATTATCTCTTCTTTGCTGGTACCTGAACATGGTTATCCTTCCCAAGAATTGGCCTCATTTCTGCGCTCTTCGTGTCATTTCACAGTATTTGCAGATGATACACTCTGACCACTGTGCTTTGGCCTACTTGCATAATCCATCCATATAATCTGGGCATGGTGTGGCCCACTTTGGGGTCCCATTGAACTCTCCGATGGGACAGTCTTTACCAGGCTGTCCCAGCTTTCATTAGAATGGGTCTTGCTAAAACTGCTGGTACTTCCCTTAAGTGCTAGGACTGTGCCTTATTTGGCCTAACAACTACTGCTGCTTCCCCAAGTCTCGGCCCATAGCCTCAGAGGAATTGTCAGTATGTGTGTCCTCTTCCAACTGCTGCCAGATTTCCTGCATTCCTCTCCCTTTTTTTGCTGGTCGTGGGGTTTGAACTGTGGGCCTGGGCGCTGCCCCTGAGCTTTTGTACTCAAGGCTAGCGCTCTACCACTTGAGCCAGAGCACCACTTCCAGCTTTTTGTGGTTTAATTTGTGCTCAGTCTCATGGACTTTCCTGCCCAGGCTGGCTTTGAACTGCAATCCTCAGATCTCAGCTTCCCGAATAGCTAGGATGACAGGCGTGAGCACCAGCGCCTGGCCCTCCTGCATTCTTCTCCACTTCCTTACAGCAGCATTCTTCTTGCTCCTAGGCCGTGCCTTCCCTTTCTGCAGGTGGGATCCTCCAGCTCTAGCCTAACAGCACTGGAATGGAGCTTCTAGTTTGCTTCCCCCTCTCCCCTCCTTCAGCAGCACCTGCTCCACTCGCCCAAGAACTTTGGGTGGTCTCTCCTCACATCCTTGTTAAGTGCTGCTGAGTAACATTCTCAACTACAGCATTGCTTTCTTGGCATGTGGTAAACTTTTATTCCTACTTTTCTTATTGATATTTTGTGATCTTAGCTCATAGCTGTAATCCTAGCTACTTAATAGACTTAGATCAAAAGGATCCAGGTTTGATGCTAGCCTGGGCAGAAAAATCTTGTCATTTTATTTATTTATTTATTTTTTATTTTTTTGCCGGTTCTGGGGCTTGAACTCAGGGCCTGGGCACTGTCTCTGAGCTCCTTTTGCTCAAGGCTAATACTCTACCACTTGAGCCACAGAGCCACTTCCAGCTTTTTCTGTGATTAATTGGAGATCAGAGGCTCACAGACTTTCTTGCTTGGGCTGGTTTTGAACTGCAATCCTCAGATCTCAGCCACCTGAGTAGCTAGGATTAAGGAGGGAGCCACCAGTGCCTGGCTCCAAAATAACCAGCAAAAAGCCAGGATGGAGGTATGGCTCATATGGTAGAGCCATGAGCATGCAAGCTAAGCAAGCAGAAGGCCCTGAGCACAAATTCTATAGTCAAAAAGTAATCATTTCTCAGGCTCTGCCTTCTCATTCTGTAAATAATGTAACGTGACATTAGATGGTCTCTGAGGGGTTCACTCTTGGTCTCAAATGTAGTTTTTCAGCCCTCTCCCCAGAGGCCTCCTGGGCTCAAAGCTTTCCCTATTCTAACACACTGTACTTTGCCACTGCCCTTTTCTTCTTCTTTTGTTGGTCGTGGGGTTTGAACTCAGCCTGGGCGCTGACCCTCAGCTCTTTAGCTCAAGGTAAGTGCTTTACTACTTGAGCCACAGCACCACTCCCAGTTTTCTGGTGGTTTATTGGAGATAAGAGTCTCACAGGCTTTCCTTTTGGGGCTGGCTTTGAACCGCAGTCCTCAGATGTCAGCCTCCTGAATAGCTAGGATGACAGGCGGGAGCCACCAGCGCCCCTGTCCTTCTCTAAGTGCCTGTTCTGTGGGGAAGAAAACAGCAACTGTATTTTGTGTTCTGCATGCGTTGTGGGTTGTTCTGAACTTGAAGACAAATTCCTTGAATCCAGGAAGGAGTTGAGAGAAACAGTGGTGTCCTTTTTTGGTCCCTTAGTATTGAGGGTTGAAGTCAAAGCCTTGCACTTGTTGGGCAAGTTCTCTACCACGTTCTCTACCCCTTGAGCCATACTCCAGCCTGAAAGTAGATGTTTTTATCTTCTTTTATCCTTTACTTCTTTAACTCGACTCCCACTGAATTCTTTGCTCCCAACCCTTCTAGTTGTTGGGCTTCTGTTGCATTGCCCTACCTGTATTTTTGAAAGAGATATCCTTGATACCAAGCTAAGAATCATGTGGGTGGTATGTAATGATAGATGGTCCAGCCAGATTGCTCTCACCATGCCCCCAACAGTTTGTTTTTTTTGTTAGTCGGGGGTGGGGCTTGAACTCTGGACCTAGGTGCTGTCCCTGAGTTCTTCAGCTCAAGGCGAGTGCTCTTCCACTTGAGCCACAGCACTACTTCCAGTTTCTTGGTTAATTGAAGAGTCAGGGACTTTCTTCCTAGGCTGGCTTTGAACCATGATAATCAGATCTCAGCCTCCTGAGAGCTAGGATTACAGACGTGAGCCACTAGTGCCTGGCTCCCCAACAGTTTTTATATGTAAGATGAGAAAGTTCACAAAACATTAGAGGTATATGAAATTTATAACTATAACAAGCATATTCTTCAGGTTTTGTTTAAATGGGTGGAATGGAGCTATCAAAGGTCTACATAATACTTTTTATTCTGTCTTGGGGCTTGAACTCGGCCTGGGTGCTGGCCCTAAGCCTTTCTTCTAGCGCTCTACCACTTTGAGCCATAGCGTCACTTCTGGTTTTCTACTGGTTAATTGGAGATAAGAGTCTCATGGACTTTCTTCCCAGGCTGGCTTCGAACCTCAGTCCTCAGATCTTAGTCTCCTGAGTAGCTAGGATTACAGGTGTGAGCCACCAGCACCCAGCAAATGTCTACATTACACATACACACACACACATACACACACACAGACACACACACAATGCCAGTCCTGGGGCTTAAATTCAGGGCCTGGGTTCAGTTCTTGAGCTTCTTTTGCTCAAGGGTAGCACTCTACCACTTGAGCCACAGCACCACTTCCAGCTTTTTCTGCTTATGTAGTGCTGAGAAATCGAACCCCGGGCTTCATGCATGCAAGGCAAGCACTCTACCACTGAGCCACCTTCCCAGCCCCCTGCTTACCAGTCTCACAGACTTACCTCCCCAGCGTGGCTTTTTACTGCAGTCCTCAGATCTCAGCCTCCTGAGCAGCTAGATTACAGGCATGAGTCACAGACACCCAACAGATGTCTACATTTCAAATACATTATACTACTTACTGTGTGTGTGTATGTTCACATGGGTACATATGTGCAAGCATCCAAGTACAAGGATTTGACCTTTGGGCCTTTCTCTTGCTTAGCTGTTTTGTTCAAGGCTTGTACTCTTCCACTTGAGCCACAGCTCCATTTCTGGCTTTTTGCTGGTTGGTTAGAAATGAGAGTCTCACAGAGGTGTTTTTTTTTTGGGGGGGGGTCCGGTCATGGGGCCTGAACTCTGGTCCTGGGCATTGTCCCTCAGCTCTAGGCTAGCGCTCTGCCACTTGAGCCACAGCGCCACTTCTGGCTTTTCTTTTTCTGCTTATGTGGTGCTGAGGAATCAAACCCAGGGCCTCGTGCATGCAAGGCAAGCACTCTACCACTGAGCCACCTTCCCAGTCCCTAATTTTCTGACCTGTGAAAATTACTATAATTATCTTAACAACATAAACTGAGCCACCACCTTCCCAGACCCTCTCACGGAGTTTTCTAGTCCAAGTTCGCTTTGAACCTCAATCCTCTTCTCTTAGCCTGCCTCCAAAGTTTATGTATTTCTGTTAGTTGAAATTTTATTCATCTGTATTTGGTATCCAAGAATTGGGTATGGATTCACTTGTGTTCCTATCACTTAAATCAAGTATGTAATTTTTAAACATTGTTTTGAAAGTTTAGGAATTGGCATTTTTGTGTGTACGTGCTGGTACTGGGATGTGAACTCAGAGCCTCACGCTCTTACTTACGTACATTTTTTTTTTTTTGCTCAAGGCTGGTGCTCTACCAAACTTCCACTTCCTAATATTTGCTGAATAATTTCCTGAATAAATCCCTTGGATTTAGCCAGGTACTGGTGGCTTACACCTATAATTCTAGCTACTCAGGAGGCAGAGATCTGAGGATCACAGTTTAAAGCCAGCCTGGGAAGGAAAGTCCATGAGACTCTTATCCACAGTAAACCACTAGAAAACCAGAAGTGGTGCTGTGGCTCAAAGTGGTAGAGCTCTAGCCTTAAGTGAAAGAGCTCAGGGGCAGTGCCCAGGCTCTTGAGTTCAAACCCCATGACCAAAAAATTGAAACAAAAACAAATCCCCTGTATTTGCCTCCCTATGTTTCCAACAGCAATCCTCAGATTTCAGCGCCCTCAGTAGGATCACAGCAATGAGCCACAGGAACCTGGTAGGAATTTTCATGTTTACCCAGAGTTTAGAATTGATTTCTTTTTTCTTTCTCTATAGCTTTCTCTTTATATGGATAAATTTGAAGAATTCCAGACTACGATGGCAAAAAGCAATGAACTATTTACAACTTTCAGGCAAGAAATGGAAAAGGTATTTGCATTTTTTTTTTTTGGGTCCAGTCGTGGGGCCTGAACTCTGGGCCTGGGCGCTGTCCCTCAGCTCTTCAGCTCAAGGCTAGCGCTCTACCACTTGAGTCACAGCGCCACTTCCAGCTTTTTTCTTTTTGCTTATGTGGTGCTGAGGAATCGAACCCAGGGCCTCAGGCATGCAAGGCAAGCGCTCTACCACTGAGCCACCTTCCCAGCCCGGTATTTGCATGTTTTTAAGGATGAGTATAGAAAAGCGAATTTATATAATGTATTTCAAACATAAGTAGTACTATTTGTGTGAATTTATATTGTGATGACTGTTCATTTTATCTTTCATGGTTTTTAGAGCCTTATTTAGTCATTTTGCCCTCTGTGTTAACCAAGTAATAATGATCTCTAAGCTTAGAATTTTACCTTACAAATTCCTTAGAACTCCTCCGGTACATGCAGTTTGTAGCTGAAATAAGATTTTGGTTTGGGGCAGGGAATGTGGTTTAGTGGTAGAGTTCTCGCCTTGCATGCATAAATCCCTGGGTTCGATTCCTCAGAACCACATATACAGAAAGAGTAGTAAGTGGTGCTGTGGCTCAAGTGGTAGAGTGCTAGCCTTGAGCACAAAGAGGCTCAGGGACAGTGCCCAGGCCCTGAGTTCAAGCCCTAGGACTGGAAAAATAAAAGAATTAGGTTTTTTATCATTATGTTTGTATTCAATTACTTTAGAAGATCATTCCCAGTTCTCTCACAAAATTCTGTCTGAGAAGAGTAAAGACAGTCACATCCAGATTAAAAATTAGTGTATTTTTGTTGGTTGAGATGCACGTACACATGCATACGCACACGCACGCACGCACGCACGCACACACACACACACACACACACACTTTTTACCATTGGGAAAAAAGCTTTCCTTTCTCTCTTTCTGTTAGTCTTGGGGCTTGAACTCAGTGACTGGGTGCTGTCCCTGAGCCCTGAGCTTTTCTACTCAAGGCTTGCACTCTACCACTTTCAGTCACAGTTCTACTTCTGGTTTTCTTGTGCTTAATTGGAGCTAAGAGTCTCATGGACTTTCCTGCTCAGGCTGGCTTTGAACCACAATCCTTAGATCTCAGCCTCCTAAAGAGCTAGGATTACAGGCGTGAGCCAGTGGTGCCCTGCCTCCTTTTTTTCTCTTAACTGAAGCCCACTGAAGTCTTTCCCCTCCAACCCAACTAATTCTTTGGCTTCTATTATATCTTCCTGCATGCATTAAGGAAAGATCTTTGCTAACAAGCTAAGAATGTGTCTACTCCTGGTGGGTGCAAGCCTCAGCTTGCCTGTTAGCTGGGATAGCAGGTGCACACCACTGCACCCATCTAAACTGGGAGGTTTTAGAAAAGTGTTGATGAGAAGGGTTGTAGTGCATGCATAGCACACCTAATTATCTAAGAGTTCAGTAGATAGCAGCCATGACTATTAACCTCATCTTACATAATGGTTAATATGCTGGTGGGTTCATCTAACTGTGGACAAGCTGTTTATAACTTTTTGTTGCCTTTCTGTGCCTTTGCTTTTAAAATTGGCAGAAAAAATAAGAATTGCCCTTCATAAAATAATAAGAGTATTTCAGATAGTGTTTGGCACAACAACATGTGCTCAATTACCATGAGTGCTCAAATTACTACCTTGAGGTATTTTTAGACCTAGTAATCTGGAGAATTCCATGAGCAGCAAATTTGTTCAGCCTGTCATTCCTTTCAGTTGAGGATCCAATCAAGGGGAAACTGTGAAGCACACTGAAGTGTTAGCTAGACTTCAGTACATGCTCACTGTTGAGGTAGAATAGGACTCAAGACAAGACGGGGAATCCTGTGGAATGAGAAGGGAATGCTGAACTGGGGGTTAGCACCTGACCCGAGGCTTCCATCAGCTTTCTCCATGGCCTTGCTCCCCATTTAGCTTTCCCATAGCACAGGGTGCCTAGCCCAGTGCCCTGACTTGGATCAGCGCTCATGTGCAGTCATCAGTGGGTAAAGGAATATTGAGAATGTGGCAAAATGACAGGCACAAATCAGTCAGCCCAAATTTCTGACAAGTTGGGTTCTGGTAGCAGAGACTTAGGAGTGTTTTCCTAATTTCTGAACTCACTTTATCCTTAGCCAAATCTGAGTAAAATAGTCCTGAGAGTTCTGAGGATCCTCAAAGTTTAAGTCGTTAGTACTTTCTTTCTCCCTGGAATCTTCTAAATCATGCTTCCTCTTAGTTTTGAAGTCATGATTTGGAAGTTATGGTAAAACACCAATTCTTAATCTTTTATAAGACTGAAACTCTGTCCTTTCTAGACTATGAGGAATTCAATGAACAGAAAACACACACGTGGACATTTTTTCCTACGGCTTAAGGAAAAGGAGGTTTTGCTCTTCCCAGGTGGAAAAACAGCACTCCAGCCTTATAGAGAGCTCTTAGTATGCTGCTGCCTCTAAAACACATTCACCTTTTCCCCTCATGAAACCCTCACCTCAGTTGCACCCTAGGAGCTACTTCTTTTCTTTGTCAGTCGTGGGACTTGAACTCGGGGCCTGAGCGCTGTCCCTGAGCTCTTCGTGAGTGCTCAAGTTGAGTGCTCTGTCACTTTGAACCACAGTGCCACTTCCAGTTTTCTGTGGTTAGAGATAAGCTTCTTACAGACTTTCCTGCCCAGGCTGGCTGCGAACCATGATCCTCAGATCTCAGCCTCTTGAGCAGCTAGGATTATAAGCATGAGCTATCAGGCTTCACTCTAGGAGTTTCAGAGAGAAGCCATGCTACCAACAGAACAGACAGCCACTTCTTTCAAAGCACACACAGCTGGCTATCAGCTGGTCCGGGCGGGATAGGAAGTACAGATGATAGGCAGTTTTTTTGTATTTTTTAAATATTTTTTTGATACGCAGTTTTGAATTTAAATTTGTGATTTTGTTTATTCACAGATGACGAAGAAAATTAAAAAGTTGGAAAAAGAAACAATAATATGGCGTACCAAGTGGGAAAATAATAATAAAGCCCTTCTGCAAATGGCTGAAGAGGTGAGGTAGTTTCCAAGACTCACATGTGTTCCTAATTAATGGGCATTCATTAAATTCAGCTCTCTGTCAGGACAAGGGCCAGGTGTTGGGTACTACTGTGATAGTTGCTGAATAGACGGATGCCTTTCCTGGCAGTTTGAGGTGGAGGAGCTTGAATGAGGGATTGAGCTCATCATCCAGTTAATTCTCCTAGGCTTGTATTGAAGACACTTAGAAAGCATCTTCTGCTTTGTTCTATAGAAGTAGTTTCTTAACCTTTAAATTTGAACCAAACTCATGTTCCAGGATGAGATTTCTAGGCCCCAGCTAGAAGCTCTGACTCACTAGGTCTAAGGTTGGTCAGGGAACCTGCTTTTCTAATAAGCATTCAGTTGATGACCTTGAGTGCAGGACTCATGCCTTAGCAAGCAGGGACTAGATTTCCCAGTGAAGATGAAAGCAAATGCCTAGAATGCCTGCTTTTCACAAAAGCGAAAAAATACTGTAGTTTGGCCAGTTTTATGACACGTATTGCTTGCAATCACCAACTTTTACATCTCCTGAAATTTCATAAGACTCATGTAAAATTTCACAAAATAAATCACTGGAGCAAAAGGATCTTAGCTAAAAATTAGTAGTAGGAAAGCTATACAATTGAGTCATGTTTTAATTGAGTTCTGGAGGGCATTTTTCCCTAGTTTCTGATAAATGTTTTGGCATCGTTCTTTGATGCTGGTTCTGGGGCTTGAACTCAGGGCCTAGATACTGCCCCTGAGCTTCTTTTGTTCAAAGGCCAGTGCTCTGCTACTTTGAGCCATAGCTGTACTTACAGCTTTTTGATAGGTAATTGGAGAGAAGAGTCTCTCAGACTTTCCTGACCAGGCTGACTTCAAACCTCTACAGATATCAGCCTCCTGAGTAGCTAGGATTACAGGTGTGAGTCACTGGCACCTGGGCCTTTTTTTTTTTTTTGTTGGTTGTGGGGCTTGAACTCTGGGCCTAGGTGCTGTCCCTCAGCTCTTCAGCTCAAGGCAAGCGCTCTACTACTTAAGCCACAGTGCCACTTCTGACTTTTTCTGCTTAAGTGGTGCTGAGAAATTGAACCCAGGGCCTCATACATATGAGGCAAGCACTCTACCGCTGAGCCACTTTCCCAGCCCCTGGCCTTGAATTTTTAGTAGTTCATCAATATGAGTGTTTTAAAAAGTGGATTTTTGTCCGCTTTTTAAAAGATGGGACCCAGGGAATCTAGTTATCATAGAATAGTATTAGGGTAAAGATCATTCCTATATTTAAATGCATACATATGTAGTGAAAACTACCTTGCCCCATAGGCTTCTGAAGAAACTGAACATGTTCAGTAGGTGGCAAGACAGATGAATTTCCAACTTGGCTCACCTCATTTCTTTGGTTTTATTTTTATTTTTTGCATGTGCATAATAACCTCAGTCATACTTGAACAAGGTTATAGACATACTGCTGTGTTTTTTTTTCCTTCCAACAGAAAACTGTCCGTGATAAAGAGTACAAGGCCTTTCAAATCAAGCTGGAACGGTTAGAGAAGCTGTGCAGGGCTCTTCAGACAGAAAGAAATGAGCTCAACGAGAAGGTAGAAGTTCTGAAAGAGCAGGCCTCTGCCAGAGGGACTGATGGGGACTTGGTGTCATCTGCACTGCAACCCTGCACTGTCCTGGATTCTCACAAGGAGCCCAGTGCTTCCCCAGGAGCGGCAGGGGTGAGCCTGGAGGCCAAGGCGGAGAGTGAGAGTGCTGCACAGAAGCTCGCGTCGCCAGCCTCTGCCCCCGGCATTGAGTCGGTTGACTAAGGTGAAGTGTGATCACTGTACTGAGAGATCTATTTTGTGTATAACTTTCTGTTAGTAGTAACTATTGGTTTTGTGGTGAAAATTTTCTTACTTTTTCTACCATATCTGTATTTTCTTAGAACTACTGGACTGTGGTACAGGAGGCTGCTTAGCAGTTTGAATAGTTTGAATCTATAAATTTCTCCCTCAGCTATGTTGCACATCTGCCTCATTTTCCCCTTTGTTGGAGTGCATGTGTTCACTGCGTTGTCCGTCCATTTTCTTCCCAGCTCCCTGCATATAATGTTCCTAATTCAGACATCACTTGACAGGGCTGACCATTACACAGGAATTCTGTTCTTGTGATGGTTCCCTGATATGGAAAAATACTAAGTTAAGCATCTTGAATCCCCTATTAATAGTATTCAAAGGAGGCTGATTAGTTGTCTAATAACCTATTCAAATGGTGAGGGGAAAAAAAACCCTGTAGTGTTGGGTCAGAAATAAGCATAAGGTATTCAGATAACGTATTCAGATGAATGCTTTGATAATGTTTATGTAACTTGACAACTGAGATGGCTATAGGCCTTCACTTCCAAGTTTGGCACTATATATAGTCACTTGGGAACAAAGTCCTGTATATTGGCAAGAACACTGGACAATAGGCTTCATGTTTATGTGGCTGGAAAGAGAAATAAATGCCTTGATTTCAGGCTAGAACTCTAGCATGTGGAATTCGGGCTACCTGATGCTCATCTTAGGTAACAGTGGTGTGAAACTTAGCCTCCACTTCCATGGAAAGCTAATTCTTTGAAGACATTTGGTCTGCAGTTCCTTGTCTGGTTAAGACAAGGGTAAATTGTCATTTAGCTTTTATTAGACATAAGTTCATTGTCTTCTGCCTATGTAAAAGTTCATGTTCAGCTGTTGTGTTGGAACCACCAGGGGTTGGGGTGTTAACAAGCTTGATGTAGGTGTAGAGGGCATTTCTAGTAGGTGTGAGGCCTTGGTCTCTCTTCCCCACCCCCCACACCAGCGAAGAACTGGAGACTTGTTGATTCACAATTCAAATTCTCTCCCAAATAGATTTCATTTACACAACAGAAACACTGGAACTAGCATTTTCATGTTGGGAAAACTTGGCAGAGTGTGACCTGTAACTTACGCTTTCAGTCTCATTTCTTACTGTTCATTTTTTTTTCAAAGAGAAATACAAGTATTGTCAAGTTCTCTATCTGTGGAATTGGAGACGATTTGAAATTTGCCTTTTTCTTCCTTCAGTGTTTAAAGCTACACTGATGACAGTGTCTTTACTGTCTCTGGTATTTGTATTGAGAAATACTTTATGGAATAAATGAAATAAAAAGGTCCTAGTAGAATTGATGTTAGCACATTTCACTGAGCAAAACTATCAAACTGACACTTGTTAAAATTGCTTACTGGACTGAATAAACTTGTTCTCCTTTATTTGTAAATTCCTGTCACATTCATGGTCTAAACTGCGTTGCAAGAACTGAAAATTATCCGATACAAAATAGTACCTGATGTGGAGGGATTTTTTTCCCTAAGCCTCCACCATCAGTCGTGTTAAGGGGATAGACAGTGGAGGAAAAAATCCAGAGTAGATCATCTCAAAGAGTCAGCAGCAAACAACTCATAGAAATACACCCTACCCCCTTTGGCTACTAAGTGATATGTTGATTTAATTCCCACCCCCCTAGGGGAAATGAAGGTATAATATCAAATATTATCTACCTTGAAATTAGTACTAATGGTCATATATCATGAGAACTGCTGGATGTCCAGCTGTTAACATTTTGTCAAATCGTGTGTAGCCCACCACATTTCTTTGTGGTGCCGGTCCTGTGTGGAAGACTGTAAATCTTGGACCTGTCTCATATTTTCAAGGGCGTTATAAAGCAATGTGATTTAACAGTACTTGGCCTGCTGCTTTTGGCTTATGTATATTTTTAGCTAGATGCTGTTGTGGTGTTTAAAGGCTATGGATTCTGTCTGGGATGCATTCAGAATCTCTCCTCCTATTACCCTGTGAACAAAAAAATGAAATGGGACCCTCCCTGAGGAAGTACCTCCTCCCCTAAAGCAATCACATCACCAGCCTTGTGTTGTGGCTTTGTAGTACGCCCTTTATCTACCATATTCTAGAACACTGTAATGCTAATGCTACTTAGGCTGGCCCAGAAAAGGTTTCAATGTTGAATTCACTTAAATTGCACCACCATACAATCTTGATGTATATTATTTATAGTGGCAGTAGACCTCCAAGGTGTAGAGCAAACTTGGGTCTTGGATAATGGACCATTTCATCCTCAAACTTGTAGTATATTTCTTGGTCTCGAGACCAGTATTTTTTAGTTATGTATGCAACTGCCTTTATTACACCTGGTTATCACAATTCAATTCTCAGGTGTTGCAGAAAAATCTACCTCTTTCAGACTGTAGATGGAAATAACTGTGAAAAAATGATGCAGATATCTTCTAGTTTGTGCTAAACACACTGCTTTATTTTTACAGCCCACGTCTTTCATGAGGATACGAATTGTTAAGAGGCAGTCTTGTTTTGCTTTTCAAAGACATTTTGTAGAGATTTTTCACTAATGTGAATCTGATTTTATCTACTCAATTCTGTATAGATTAAGTAAATATGTATGATAAATTTAACAGCTTCTGTGTATTTTTTTTGTTATTCATGTGGCCTTCGTTGTAGACTAGTAAGTCCAATGGTACAATTCTGCCCATTCCTACTGAAGAGGGGGTACAGGATACACACCCCCATACCTCCCACCTTCCCCAGCTTCTGAATGAATGCAACAAAAATTTATTTTAAAACTTTTATTTCTGCAAAGCCAATCAAGAAGTGTCGGAAGGAAAAAGTGAAAAAAGTTATCCTTGCATATTTGGGAACTTGAGCAAGCACTTAGTTTGGGAAAATGAGGACTTAAAACATCTGAATCAAAAGGCAGTACCCTGCAACTCGTACTTTAAAACGATGATGATGTTCTCCTTTAAGCAACATTCCTTTTTTCCCTAATAGCTACAAATATGATACAGTACGCAACAGCTCACTTGAAAGTGCTAGAATCAGAGGGTAAAGAACGCCAGAAGCCATCCCACTTACATTTTCTACTATACAATGCCTTTTGGCGCTTGACAAATCAAGCATTCTTGTAAGCATTACATTCAACAGAAACATCTTATACTTTGGGGTTTAAGATCCTTGTCCCTGCAGTTCCGATGTTGTGACATCTGCCTCTTCATCATTGTAAATGTTTTCAGCCTGGAGATAATTAACAAACTAAATCAATTCACAGGTAAAACTCCCCCAAGGTGCTCACAAAAAGGCCTACAAATGGAATTTTCATCTGTGAATGCCAGATTTTAAGATTCATGTCAATGTGTCTCAGTGCTAGAAATTAAACACGACATGTTCTTAATTTGTTGACTGCTTTCATTGTATTTTGCATTTTCTAGACTTCAAGGAAGGAAAAAGCAGGCACAAATTAAGTTACCTGCCAATATGTAATTGGCACATACATACCCGGCCACCCACACACGAGTCATTCAGAGAAAGGTGCTCTTTGCAAACACTTCAGGCATCACTTACAGGAATGATAAGAAAGGCTTAGTTAACTCGGCACCTCAGAAGTGTCAAGTATTTACCGCTCGAACACTTCACCATTTCCTCCTTGTATTCCTGCCTATGGCACAACAGAGACACTGGAGACAGAGCAGTGATGCCAAGATGCCACTGGACAGAGGGCTGCAGTGACATTTCAAGCACATAGGCTGTGCATCTGTGTTTACATAGATGTGCAGAGACTGCCCCCAACCTGACTGGCGCTACAACATAGTGAACAAAGCACCTGTATGTAATTGAGCCAAACCTGAAAACGTCGTCTTTAGTTTCCTCACTTGAAATGTTTACTATAAGTTACAGTCTATCCCAGCTTACCATCTGCCATATTTGCATGATGTTATCCTCTGACACTGAGCAAATGACCCAAGGCTCATTGGGGTTCCAGCTGAAGTCGGAAATCTTGGCAGTGTGCCCTCCGTGAATGAACTGTTAAGGATAAAGTCTTGGTTTCAAATCCTCTCTTGTTAATCCTAATACAGGTTTTAAAATAGTTTCTAGATCACATTTTTTGGAGGAGGGAATTGGCCCACAGTTTAGAGGGCAGTTGATTCAGCCTCCCGTATCCCTATTCCATTACTTCAGAAACTTTGAAACCTTCAGACTGGAACATAGAAGTACCGTTTTTGTTTTCTTTTTAAAACAAGAACAAAAATACTATGATTTTGAATTGGGAAGTGACACTTGTGTGTGTGCTAAGAGCTTGAACTCAGAGCCTGGGTACTGTCTTTGACCTTCCCCCACTTCTAATGGCTAGCACTCTACCACTTGGGCCACAGCTCCACTTCCATTTTGGTGGGTTTTTTTTTTTTTGTAATTTATTGGACATAGGAATCTCATGGACTTTCTTACCCCAGCTGGCTTCAAAACACAACCCTCAGATCCTAGCCTCATGAGCAGCTAGGATTATAGGTGTGAGCCACTGGTTCCTGACTTGAGAAGTGATGTGACACTTTGACATGACTACTAGACTCTAGTTTGACAAAGAGGTCTCAGCCAATTATTTGCCATGTTATCTAGTCATTTGATCCGTTAAAAAATGTGAGATGGGGTATACAAGCATCTCAAACATTAAGTACACAAGTGAAGAAAACCTCAAAAGTGGTACAAATGCTGAACGTAAAAGAAGCTAAAGACTCTAGGATTTACTCTTAAGGGCCTTCTTTACTCCTCAAGACTTGTGAGTGAAGCACAAGTATACCCAAAATTAGTACTGTCATAAGAGCACTATAAAATGAGTGATGAATGCAGAAGGCAAATGTTGAATGCAGAACAAAGACAATGAGTCATTGCTAAATCTGGCAATGCTTCATATGAAAGTGACGTGGATTTTTAAAATCAGGCCATTAAAATGTTTCCCATGGAGCTGGGAAGGTGGCTCAGTGGTAGAGCGCTTGCCTTGCATGCATGAGGCCCTAGGTTCGATTCCTCAGCACCACATAAGCAAAAAGAAAAAGCCGGAAGTGGTGCTGTGGCTCATGTGGTAGAGCGCTAGCCTTGAGCTGAAGAGCTGAGGGAAGCGCCCAGGCCCAGAGTTCAGGCCCCACAAATGGACCAAAATAAATAAATAAATAAAATGTTTCCCATAAGTTACGTATTGCTAACTGAAGAACAATGCTATCACTGCTATCTTCTCTCACTACCACAGGCCTTCAGGAAATATTACAACTGGAAGTAATAAGATCAGTTCCATGACTCCAACTACTCTCTATTATTAAACTTCCCTATTTTGATGAGTGTCAAGGCCCAATCATAGTAATATTTAAGACTTCAATTTTGAAATCACCAGCACAAGTACAAATTGAAACTGCTTTTTCCCCCTTCACCAGTACTGGGATTTAAACCCAAGGTCTCATGTTTGCTCAGTTGGCATTCTACTATTTGAGTCATGGCTCCATCCCAGCCTTTTGCTAGTTATTTTAGGGATGGAGTCTTGCAGAGTTTTCTGCCTGGGTTGGTTTTAAATCAGCCTCCTGAATACTTAGGATATTACAGGCATGAGCCATTAGCTCCCAGCTTGACACTTGATAACCTAATCTGTATATTTCATGTAGAATAAGAGAACTAATGCATACCAGGAGTTCTGGAGGTCCATCTTCTGCATCTTCGGCAGATTGCTCTTCTCCAATTTTGCTATTAACGAAGAATGTAATGTTTTCATTATTGTATCTTAATGCATATGAAAGTACATTAAACCAGTATCAGGCCAAAAAGTTCATACACAGATGTGCACATTCACTCTAAAACCAACTTATTTTTATACGATAATCAATTAGGTACTATTTCGTGAGAAGGTAGGATGTTTACTTTCTAGATGTGGTTTAGAGCTATTCATAACAACTGCAGAATGAAAAATTGTTCCTCACAATAAAAATCATTTCAAAATTCCTTCAATATTTTAATGTGGTGTTTGGAATTAAAAAGCCAAATACATTAAAAAATCTGGGGGAGAAAGATGGAAGGAGTGACACTGATCAAGATGCATTGCATTACAACGTATTTGTTGAATTGAAACCCTTCTGTACAACTACTTAAAGATAATAAATATAAATTTAAAAACTACATGTGTAGCCTTTATACTCTTGAAGCCTTTTGCATTTCTCGAGTGAAATTATTATGCATTAGTAACATGAATGTCTAAAGAAACAAAAAGTAGCTTTTGTTTTTTTTTCTTTTTTTCTGGCCGGTTGTGGGGTTTGAACTGGGGGTCTGGATGCTGTAATGCTGTCCCTGAGCTCTTCAGCTCAAGGCAGGTGCTCTACCACTTAAGCCAGAGTCACTTTGGGTTTCCACGGACTTTCCTGCCCAGGCTGGCTCTGAACCATGATCCTCAGATCTCAGCCTCCTGAGTAGCTAGGATTCCAGGCGCCTGGCTAGCCTTTTCTTTTTTGGTGGAGATAGAATTTAAACTTATCGCCTTGCTGCTTCCTTAAGCAGGCACTCTACCATTTGAGCCACTTCAATAGCCCCCAACAAACAGCTTCTCACTATGCAATGTGTAAGCCAAATAAAGCTGTTTGGGGGACTTTTTTACTTTCTTGATGCTAGACTGAACTATGGCCTGACACATACGACGCATGTTCTAACACTGAGCTATACCCCAGCCCAAAATGAAACAATCTAAACACACTAAAATCTGAGGATCTTACTTGTTTCTATAGAAAGTGTATCTAGCTGGGCGCTGGTGGCTCACGCCTGTAATCCTAGCTACTCAGGAGGCTGAGATCTGAGGATTGTGGTTCAAAGCCAGCCCGGGCAGGAGAGACCGTGAGACTCCTATCTCCAATAAACCACCAGAAAACCGGAAGTGGCGCTGTGGCTCAAGTGGTAGAGCGCTAGCCTTGAGCTGAAGAGCTGAGGGACAGCGCCCAGGCCCAGAGTTCAGGCCCCACGACCGGACCCCCCCCCCAAAAAAAAATGTCCCGGCCATAAAATGACTAAAAATCTGAAAACAGACACCAGAAAATCGTCACATACCTGGAAAATTTCATCCTTATGCGATTCAAAGGTATGGAGTTTTAACTTTAAGTTACGCAGATCCCACAAAGCTACGGTCTGAAGATGGGGAGAAGAATGATTTTTATGATTTAAGACATTTGAAGTATCCAATTAAAACACAATATAATCAAGTTTCTTGTACAGATCAAATAGGTGAAAACTCTGAAACCTTATCCGCAGAGCCAGTTGCTAGAATGAATTCACTGTAGGGATTGAATGAGAGGCAGTTGACCTCAGCGGTGTGCGCATCCACCAAGTGGCTTGGCTTAGAGGTGGTATTAGATCTGGTGTCCCATCTAAAACACAAAGGTACAAGGTACACAGCACTCAAAGAGGACATCTATCTTCCACATCCTCTCACACATTCATGCTTGGCTGTTGGAGCAATTCCACTCTGCTGAAAGTTCTGCTATTCTCATCCGTCAGCAAAGACATCAACTACACAGCTGTCCATTGCGACTTGGACCACGAAATGATAATATCCTACACATTCAGATAATAAACAAGAGCTATTATTTCTGGTTCTTTTCTTATTAGATCCTGTCCAAATTACCAATAATTTCAAGCATACACAATCTATATGTACAGAACAAGAAAACAATTTGATACCTATAACTAGATTGCATTTTCCTTCACATTTGCATAGCTATTTTCAAAAATAAACCGCACAGTCATATAGCAGTTAAATCTTATGTAAAAAGATTACTACATATATACCATTGATTATTTTTTGTAGCAGTACTGGGGCTTGAACTCAGGGCCTGGATGCTATCCCTGAGCTTTGTTTGCTTAAGCCCACTTGTGGCTTTTTTGGTGGTTAAGTGAGAATCTCATGGACTTTCCAGCATGGGCTGGCCTTGAGATCCCCAGAACTCAGACTCCTGAGTAGCTAGGATTGATTATAGGTGTGGGTCACTGGCATCGAGCTTACATATTTTTTTTTTAAAGAAGACTAAGAGTGAGACTAATTGAAGCATCCTGTAAACATGTGTGGAAATGTAACAATAAATGAATCCCCTCTGTGTAATTAATGTAAGCTAATAAAGTGTAGAACTAAAAAAAGTAATCAAACCAGTCTATATCACAATCACTGATGCCCATTCAGATCAGCTATCAATATCCCACTGAACTTTCCGCCTTACATCATAAGTTTCTGATCATCAGCAACAGATCCAAACAGTGACTCATGCAGCAGATGCCAGGCCACGTCTTCGACAACAGCAGAGTGGCCGGTAAAGATTGCTTTGGCATCCACAATTTTGCCTTCCTTTGGTCCTGCATTAATATCCCACAGGCAGACAGTCTGAGGAAGAGGGGCAGGGGAAAGAAAATAAGATGTATGATACTAAAGTTCAAGGGTAACAGCTTATTTTAAAACATCACTAAAAATAAAACAATTTAACTACATAAGCCATCAGCTTCCATGATAAGAAATGCATAAAGTAAGGAAACTGAACTGGTTGTGGGTGAGGGACATTTGAGCTGAAATCTCCATCTAAACACAGACATTCAAGTATTCCAAACTCATCCAGATAAAGCACAATAAATCTGAGCAACAGAACTCACTTAAAAAAAAAATCACACTAGATTGGGAATATTTGGAATAAAAACTAAAACAAGGCTCTTAGATTATGCCTTTGAACAAGTTTCTTAATGGTACGAACCACTATAGACATCAAGAGGTATGGCCAGAAACACCTACAAGGTCAAAGCTTAAGAGTCTGCAGACAGATCCCAAAGGGCCTGATCCTTGAAACATCAGAAGAGTTCAAGGAGAGTACTTCAGGCCTCAGAGAACACAGAAGGCCATACATCATGAGTCTTCATGATCAAAGATTTCTTCTGATGTACAATCTTAAGTTTTAGAAATAAAATTTGTTAAGCTATCAGGCAATGACTCACATTGAATGGTTTAAGATCCAAAGTAATTCCTTTGAAGCATATTAGTACACTAATTACAAATCCACGGATATTTGTACTGGCTTCATCTCTTTCTGAACCACTTTTTCTTTCCATGTTAGTCTGTTGCGACTTGTACATTCTGACATACCGTTAATAACTCGCACGAAAGAGAAAGGAATAAAGCAGGGCTCCTATCACCCACGCCAGCCCCCACCTCAGAAAGGGCCTGGAAAGATTAACACCATGCCTGGCAGTTGGGAAGCCACTGTTAAATGTCAGCTATTATTATTAGTTAGCAATTTCCACTTGGTGTTTAAGGTTCATTTAAGTTAGAGTAAAGCCCTATCCAGGAAAGCGTCACAAATAGATTTAGAAGGAAACAGAAACCTCAAGGCAGACCCTTTTTCTGAGGTTTTCTGGCAGCTGAGTTTGGGAATACAACACAGATGTTATCTACCTCCCCACCCATGCTGACTTGAGAAGAGCAATTGGAGGGTAATTTTGACAATGGGGATGTGGGGGAAACCAACGGCCTCTTTCCAGGGGGGACTGAGTGATATATTCACTGGCTTCATTTGGATTGTGAATGTGGCAGAAGGGAAACAGGGAGTACCTGCTTATTGGTATGGAAATTTCCTTTTGAGACACCTGGTGAAACATTTTGGGATAAGAATGGTCATAAAACTTTTTTTTTTGGGGGGGGGTCGGTCTTGGGGCTTAAACTCTGGCTCTGGGCGCTGTCCCTGAGCTCAGCAGCTCAAGGGAGCACTCTACCACTTGAGCCACAGTGCCACTTCCAATTTTCTGGTGGTTCACTGGAGATAAGTCTCACAGACTTTCCTGCCCCAGCTGGCTTTGAAATGTGATCCTCCGATCTCAGACCCCTGAGTAGCTAGGATTAGAGGCGTGAGCCACCAGCTCTTGGCATAAAAGACTTACAAGTATATCAAAACCCACTGCATCTGAAACAAAAAAAAAATACTTTGCAAGGATTCAACTCCACAAAAGCCCTAGAGAGGATCCAATATAAGGACCTAGAGATCCTCTTTTAAACATTGAGAAGGCTTTTGCCCATCCTCCCTCTATTCTAAGGTTGCTTTAAAGGGTTTTGTCAAATCCCAAGACTCCAATAGAGTGGACAAGAACCACTACTTTGAGCCCTGAGAAAATGGTAGCACAATAATCAGCAGTGTTATCTTAGAAAACTTTTCATCTATTTGATGCTCCTTCAGTGCAGAGCTGAGTTGCCCTGTGACATTTTAACTCTCAGGAGTTGAGCAGTTAGGAAGAACATGGTTCTCACATGGTCATCGGATGCACTTAGGAGATGTCCACTCAGATTAGAGTTCCAGGAAAGACCATAACCTTCCTTTTGGTGACCTCTTAGCCTAAGATCAGGATTACACTCTCCACTTGGGTCTAAGAGAAAAAAAAATACGTTATGTTTATTAAAATTGGTAAGAGCAACTTTTCACTCCATTAAGTGAGTTTAACAGCAATTACACACAGGACTTTGTCTGACCCACAATAGCTTCGTACAGCTTTTGTCTCCATTGGTTTTATATTATACACATAATGCAAAGTGAACCTCATGACTATTAAATGTTTTCCTTGGAAAACCTTTCACTATCTCCAACAGAGAAATACTAAAACTATAGTTATACCACAAATTTGTGTAGCAGCAACCCTATCCTCTCAGCCCTGGGGCATCTTTAGAAATAATTCTAACATAGCAGGTTGGATCACTCAGCTGTAGTATGTCTCTAGGGTAGCCTGTAACCATAAATGACCCTTGCCCAGTGCCTGAGAATGTGACCTTCAGAAAGCTTCTTAAGTCACTGTCTGACAAAAAACTGTATATATGCCCAGAGCAATACGCTGTAGCAACTTGTTAAGACTTGTAGGGTTGTTTAGCAAGAATTCACGATGTACCTAGCATCACTGTTGGATGCTGAGTTTTTATTACCACAGCTGGTCAAAGAACAAGATGTGTCTGTGACCAAGACCTCCATAAAAACTCTAGTTCCTTAGACTCCAAACAGGCTCTTCTGGGCACACATTCAACACATGTTCTCGTGGTTTGCTGGTATAGAAAAAGCATGGCCTGTGTGGCCCTAGAGAGGAAGGCCTCAGAAGCCAATGCCTGACCTCTCTAGAGGGTTATCCCCTTGTATCTATCTTTTTAATCCTGCTGTGTTCTGGACCTTTCCTTATAATTAATCTTCCCTGTGATAACCTGTTGTTAGAGCCTTCTGGCAAATCACTGACGTTGATTGGTGGTTATGGGACTCCCCAAACAATCTGCAAACCTTTAAGTGACTTTGAAAGGGTAGGGATATAACTCGGTGGTACGGTGCTTGCCTAGCATTGATGAGGCTGTGGATTAAATCCCAAAACCTCAATAACAACAACAAAAAAGATCTTAAAAGGATTATCATTTTGAATTAAAAAGGTTCCAGTAATGAATGATCTGATAACTTTTATTATTACATACCTGGCTTAGCAGGATGCTTTGTATAGTCAAAAACCAACACATCAGAAGATGGTGTTTTTGTAGCAATGATGTGAGGATTCTGCGGCATGTAACGAGCACGGTTCACCTCTCCTTCATGGTTAATCTTAATCTCACATTCAATTTTTCCTGTCACAGAACCAAAGCCGCCAAATTCTAATGTGAGGGTAGAGAAAGAAACATATAAAGTTCAGTTTAAAATTCGTAAGTCACTCTATTTAATCAACCCAACAGAATTTACACTTAGAGCATCACACAAATTGATGTGAAAAAAAGAAAAAACTAACATGGGCCACCTGCCACTTGGAATCGATGTATTTTCAAAGCCCATCTGCACTGGAAAATACATTATTAATTCAGTTATTTACAGCAATTAAAAACAGTATTTCACAGTTGTTAAGTATGGCTATTTATATTTATTTCAAATAACTGGTACAAGGTCCTGATCTCAAATCCTAGTCCTGCCAAATAAAAAAATAATCAAGCTAGATGCTGGTGGCTCACACTCGTAATCCTAGCTACTTGGGAGACTGAGCTTGTTCCAAGGTTCAAGGTTCGAAGCTACTTTGAGCAGCAAAGTCCATGAGACTCATCTCCTCCCATTAACTACAAAAAAAGCCAGAAATGGAGTGAGGCTAGCCTATGGGCTGGGAAGGTGGCTCGGTGGTAGAGCACTTGCCTTGCATGCATGAGACCCTGGGTTCGATTCCTCAGCACCACATAAGCAGAAAAAGCCAGAAGTGGCGCTGTGGCTCAAGTGGTAGAGCGCTAGCCTTGAGCTGAGGGACAGCGCCCAGGCCCAGAGTTCAGGCCCCACAAAGGACAAAAAATAATAAGATCCTAAATCATCTGAAGCTATACAGAATTAACCTGGTCTCTCTCTCTCTCTTACCACTACTGACCCACGGCCAACTCTTAGGAACATGGATCTCAAAATGTTCTTCCCATCACTGATGGACTGATGCTTCTGTTATGTACACTAGGAGCAACAGACCATGCTGTTCTAGTTTTCCAGGGTTGCTCTGCACAAATATCAAGGCTGATACGTACCAACTTTCATCACTAGGACCCTGAGTTTCAGTTGTCCTGGTTGCTGGCCAGCAGGGTATGCCAAGCAGCTATCCAAGAAAGCCTTAGATCTAGAAGAGGGACTGACTCCCTATGGTCTTCTATGGGCAGAGATACCCCACATATGTCCTTATAGCTTCTGCCATAGAGAAAGCACATCTTGTGTGGCCTTGGATGAGACTGTGCCAGACCTCCCTGGACTTGCAAGTACTTATCTTGTTCCCGTTGCTTTTGTTTTGCAGTCTTTAATAACAAACTTTAATCATAAATATAATTTGTTACTGAAATGTTTTGAGTCCTCCTAGCAAAAATCACCAGACTTGAGGTGGTCATGGGAGTACTAAAACAGAAATATTTGACATTTTCAAAAGTCAATTGCTTCCTAGATTGGTGCCTCTCCCCTAAAAACAAAACTATTCAGAGTTTTTTTTCTATGCATCTACCCAACACATATTGCTTTTACCCAAATAAGTATTATAATAATTATACTCTTTAGTAATTCATTCATCTTGGATACCTTTACTAGTGAATACTGATTTTTTTCTCTCACGTTTTTGTTGCCCTTGTGCCAGTAATGGGACTTGAATGCTCCTGCCTGGCTTTATTCCTCATAGCTGGTGCTCTATCACTTGAATCATACCTTGGGTTATGAGTTTTTGCTGGTTAACTGGACATAAGAATCTTCCTAGCTGGGCGCTGGTGGCTCATGCCTGTAATCCTAGCTACTCAGGAGGCTGAGATCTGAGGATCTCAGTTCAAAACCAGCCCGGGCAGGAGAGACCGTGAGACTCCTATCTCCAATAAACCACCAGAAAACCGGAAGTGGCGCTGTAGCTCAAGTGGTAGAGCGCTCGCCTTGAAGAGCTGAGGGACAGTGCCCAGGCCCAGAGTTCAAGCCCCACGACCGACAAAAAAAAAAAAAAAAAAAGAATCTTCCTGATTTATCTACCTGGACTTCAAACTGTGATTCCCAGAAGATCTTACAGGCATCTAGTTTTTTTTCTCTCATTCTTATTAAAAGCCTAGACACTGGACTGAGCTTTTTCTTTTCTGCTCAAGGCTAGTGCTGAGGCAAAGCTCTACTTCTGGCTTTATGGTGGTAAATTAGAGATTAAGAGTCTCATGGACTGGGGCTGGGAAGGTGGCTCAGTGGTAGAGCGCTTGCCTTGCATGCCTGAGGCCCTGGGTTCAATTCCTCAGCACCACATAAGCAAAAAGAAAAAAGCCAGAAGTGGCGCTGTGGCTCAAGTGGTAGAGCACTAGCCTTGAGCTGAAGAGCTGAGGGACAGCATTCAGGCCCAGAGTTCAGCCCCCACGACCGGACCCCCCAAAAAAAAAGTCTCATGGACTTTCCTGCCTATGTTGGCTTCAAATCACAATCCTCAGATCTCAAGTCTCCTGGGAGGCTGGCATGAGCCACCAGTGCCCGGCTGATCTCAATGTTTCAATCCCGTAAATAATTTAATGTGAAATCCTTGCACACATGTAAGTAACTCTGTAGAAGTTACGCTGAGTCAAAAGCTAATAGCATACACTTTTAATAGTATATGCTTTGAAAAAGGCATACTCATCATTCTGACAGCAAACTAGAATATATGGAATACCTACCACCCTTGTCACTGTCACAATGGGAAGCATCAAACTGTGCATCGTCATTGGGAATATGAACTCGAGCAACCACCAAATGATTCTGCTCATCAGATGTATGAGTTCCCAGCACCAGCCAGTGAAGAGCATAATCCTTTCCTTCCGGCCTGTTTAAGGAAGAAAACAAGTCACACTAAGCCTACAGGTATCTTCACTTAACAATTGAGGCTATTTCCTCAAAATATATTAAAATTTCTTTAGCAAATATATACTGAGGATGGCCCCAAACCTATTCTCTAATTTACCAACTTTTAAGTCACCACATATTCAAAAGAAAGATTCAAATCACAACATACAGAGTGCTTGCTTCTTCCCCCCAAATCCACACTCCTCTGCCTAAATTAATGTGAATAATATCTTTTCTGGAGCAGCCCTATGGAGAAGGAAGACCCAACAAAACATCTACACAAGAGTCCATCACTGATTCCACTTTAAGTCTTTTTCTTGAGGGGGGGAGGAAGTATTCTACCAATAAGCCATGCTAACAGTTCCTTACAATTTTAACAAGGCAAGCAATGTGCATGAGCACACGTCCACATTTTTGGAGGAGGTGTCAGTCCTAGGGCTTGAACTCAGGACTGGGGCACTGTCCCTAAGCTATGTTTCCCCCTCATAAAGGCTAGTGTTCTACCATTTGAGCCACAGTTCCATTTCCAACATTTTGGTGGTTAACTGGATTAAAAGAGTCTCTCGGATTTTTCCTGCACAGGCTGGCTTCAAACTGTGATCCTGAGATCTCAGCTACTTGAGTAGCTAGGACTACAGGTATGATCCACTGGCATCACTTTTTTAGTACTTAGAAAGTCTGACTTTGAACAATGTCCTTCAGATCTCAGGAAAAATATTGTTAGAGGGAATAGTGCCTTAGAGTGAAAGGAATTTAAACATATCTCATAAAAATATTGGAAAACAATACGAATGCCGGAAAGGAGATACACCACAGAACAATATCAGAACCGATATAAATGACGTGCATGGTTGGTGGAAGGGAGAAAACTACAACAAAAACTTGTTTTGGTGGAGTTAAGTAGGAAAAATAAGACTAAAAGGTAAAAGTGACAGATTGATAGAACTTTTCTAAGGAGCACTGTCTCAAGTAGACTAGAGGTTATTAAAAAAAATCATCTAACCTAAATTCAATTGTTCTAGTTTCTCCTGACTTTTTTTCTTAACCATGCATGGACTTCTTTCATTATAAATCCTTTATTATAAATCCTTTTGATTTTTTTTTTTTTGCGGGTTGTGGGGGCCTGAACTCTGGGCCTGGGTGCTGTCCCTTGGCTCTTCAGCTCAAGGCTAGCGCTCTACCACTTGAGCCATAGCGCCACTTCCGGTTTTTTCTGCTTATGTGGTGCTGAGGAATCGAACCCAGGGCCTCAGGCATGCAAGGCAAGCGCTCTACCACTGAGCCACCTTCCCAGCCCCAATCCTTTTGATTTTTGTCATTAAAACATAGCTTAGGAAATGGAGGTATGACTAAAGTAGTAGAATGTTAGCAGTAAACAGAAAGGCCTTGAAAGCATGAGGTCCTGAATTCAAGCCCCAGTACTGGTATAAAAAATAAACATCCCAGGCTGGGAAGGTGGCTCAGTGGTAGAGCTTGCCTTGCATGCATGAGGCCCTGGGTTTGATTCCGCAGAACCAAGTAAGCAGAAAAATCCCGAAGTGGTGCCATGGCTCAAGTAGTAGAGCACCAGCCTTGAGATGAAGAGCTGAGGGACAGCACCCAGGCCCAGAGTTCAGGCCCCGTGACCAACAAAAAAATAAAAATAAACATCCCATAGCCTACTTCTTAAAACAACTCTACATGACACTGTTCTCTAATTCTAGAGATTCCTAATAGTTGAAGAAGCACTAATAGCAAATAATCCTACCTAGTCAGGAGACTTGACATCTGAGGTTCAAAGCCAGTCTGGGCAGACAAAATCCATGAGACTTCAAGTTCAGAAAAAGTACGGTCCCAAGTTTGAATCCCATTACCTACCTAGCTACCAACCAACCAACCAAGAGCCTACCTATCTTCAGTTATCACAATCCTTTGATCCTGTAACTCCACTGAGAAGAAACTCAACAATTGCAAAACTGCTCTATTTCAAGATCTGTGTACGTACATTTGCCTAATATGTGCAAGGCCTTAGGTCCAATCCTCAACTTTTAATATATGCCAAAATAAAGTTGCCAAACTTTTAAGAGAACAGCTTGGAAAATCATTAGAAAATATGTTAAGTACAGGCACATGAGATAGAGCACTGTCCTTCAATGAGCCAGGCAGTTAGAACAGGCAACATTTCTATGGCTGTGTATGGTAATAAAACACAATCACAATTCCTTCAAACCCTATAAAATGGAACTCTGCAGAGCACCACATAGTCCCAATAGGCAAGAAAGAAGACTGCCTGGCATTTTTCTTTCTAGGACACTAAACATCCTACAATTCAACCCCCTAAGTTTCCCCCTCCCCCTTTTTGGCTTGTCCTGGGGCTTGAACTCAGGGTCTGGGTGCTGTCCCCAAGCCTCTTTGTGCTCAAGGCCTTTGCTCTTACCACTTCAGCCACAGCGCCACTTCCAGCTTTTTCTGAGTAGTTCATTGGAGATAAGAGTCTCACGGACTTTCCTGCCCAGGCTGGCTTTGAACCATGATCCTCAGATCTCAGGCTCCTGAGTAGCTAGGATTATAGGCATAAGCCACTGGCACCCAGCCCAAAAATTCTTTTTAAAATACTGTACAGCGGGGTTACAATCACATGAGCAAGGTAATGAGTACATTTCTTATCAAGCATTGTTGCCTCCTTTGTTTTTCCCTTATCATCCCCCCACCCCCTTCCCTCTCATCTCCACAACTACATTCCCACAAATTCTTTATATATGAATCCTGTAACATAAAAGCAAACCATCTGGGCTGAGAGTAACATAGCTGAATAACCCTAATTCAAAAATTTGAGTTTTTGTTTTATTGGCAGGAAAGCCTGTGAAACTCTTATCTCCAATAAAACAGAGAAAACCGAAGTGGCACTGTAGCTCAAGTGGTAGAGTGCTAGCCTTGAGGTGAAGAGCTAAGGGACAGCGCCCAGGCCCAGAGTTCAAGCCCCACGACTGACCCCCCAAAAAATTTGAAATGCCCCAATATTGGAAATTTGCTGAGTGCTGATATGACATCACAAGTTGAAAAAGCCACACCTGACCTCATGTGATTACTCAGTCACAACACAGGTACACTAAAAATATTGTTTAAAATTACTTTCAGGGGCTAGGAATGTGGCTTACTGGTAGAGTGCTTGCCTAGTGTACATGAAGCCCTGGGTTTAATTCCTCAGTACTATATAAAGAGAAAAGGCTGGAAGTGGCAATGTGGCTCAACTGGTAGAGTGCTCGCCTTGAGCTGAAGAATGAAGGGATAGCGCCCAGGCCCAGAGTTCAAGTCCCACAACTGGCAAAAAAAAAAGGTCATGGACAGTGTCCAGGCCCTGAATTCAAGCCCTAGGACTGGCAAAAAAATTGCTTTCAGGTTATGTGTAGACTTGGGTCCCAGCCCCAGGATATCTTGATAAGTATATGCATATAATATGCCAAAATAAAAAAAGTCGCCAAACTTTAAATGCTTCTAGTCCCAGCCATTTCACATAAGGAATATTCAGTCTGTTTAAAATTAAGTAAAACAGTATAGCTTTTAAAATAGTTTTATATAACTGTTTGAGGATAAGATAAAAAGTGGTTTTTATTGAAATTAAAAAAAACCTACTTTTACAAATTATTCTTTAACAGAAAGGGGTAGGAGAATCAGCCTTCGTCACCACTTCTGCAGATCTTACTCTGCCAAACACACTTTAACATGTAGCACCTTATTTAATTCCCTCAAATGTAAGCAGTTGTTTACTACCAATATTCATCCAGTACAGACCAGACAATTCAGGGACAGAAAGGCTAAACAATTTGCCTTAGCTCATAAACCTAACAGGATCAGAATTCAAGCCTAAGTCTCTGACCTTGAAGTCCCTTCCCTTTGCTACTATACTGTAATAGTTTCAAAAGATCCAAAAAGGATAACTTGTTATTAATAAGGCTTAAAGCACATTAGCAGGAAGAAAAAAGCAAATGCACACAAAGCTCCAAACCATATGAATATTGTTCAATATATGATGCTCAATCTACTTTTAAAAAATTAATATAGCAACTCATTTGTGTAGCTCAGACTGTCCCTGAACTGTCCCTGATCCACCTGGCTGAAGAGATTTGAAAACAGACTGTGCTAGGTATGGTGCTGCACACCTGCAATCCCAGATACTTGAGAGGCAGTAAGGATCTCAGTTTGAGCCTAGTTGAGGTAATGTTAGTGAAGAACACACCTTAAAAAACAGGACTAGGAAGCCAGGCACTGGTGGCTCATGCCTGTAATCCCAGCTACTCAGGAGGCTGAGATCTGAGGATCACGGTTCAAAGGCAGTCCATGCAGGAAAGTCCATGAGGCTCTTATCTCCAATAAACCACCAGAAAACCAGAAGTGGCCCAGTGGCTCAAGTGGTAGAGTACTTGCCTTGAGCTGAAGAGCTGAGGGACAGCACCCAGGCCCAGAGTTCAAGCCCCAGGATGATGGGGGCGGGGGGGGGGCGGGAGAAAAGTCTAGGAGCTTACTTCAAGTGTAGAACATGCAAAAAAAAAAGTCTAATCAAAAGCAATTGCAAAGTTTGTATCTTGAGTGTAGCTCAATAATAGAGCACTTGCTTAGTATGCATAAGGTCCTGGGTTCAATCCCCACCACGGCAAAATTTTTTTAAGGCGGGAACCAGCTGCCCATGTCTATAATCCTAGCTATGCAAGAGGCTGAGCTCTCAGGATTAGTTTGAGGCCCGGCAGGACAGACAAATCTGAGATACTTCTTTTGTGTTGTCCCTGAGTTTTTTTACTCAAGGACAGCACTCTACCACTTGAGCCAGTTCTACTTCTGGCTTTTTCTTTGGAGTTTAACTGGAGATAAGAGTTTCAAGACTTTCCGGTCTAGGCTGGCAGCTTCGAACTACGATCCTCAGATCTCAGCCTCCTGAGTAGTTAGGATTTATAGGCATGAACCACCAATAACTGGAAAATCAACTGTCCAGCAAAAAGCTGGAAATGGAGGTGTGGATCCATTGGTAGAGCAGCAGGAACAGAACAGGACTAGTGAGAGAACAAACCCAAGTTTAAGCTCTAGTACTGCTGCACATGCACAAGCGCATGTACACACACTATCTACAAATGTCCATTATTTAGCACTCCCAGATTCTTTCATATCTGTACATTCACTTTTCTAAAACAGTTTTGTGCAGTGGCAGTATCATAGCCATTGAGGTTTATAGGAGAAGTCAATGTTCACATATGAAATCTGGACATCATGCATCATTTTATGTAAAATTACCTCTTATTTTTATAACATCAGAAAATCCTATGACTTTGCCTTAATCTTTAAATTGCAGGTTTCACAATATGCAACTTCAATATATGCGGCTATTAGAAAAGGTACAAGTCTGAGAAAGGTAGGTAGCCTGATGAAGTACTGCCTTCCTTCTAGAAAGAACTGCTCGGAGTTGTTAAGTTAGGGTTTGTACATGGCTAGGCCCAAGCAATCACTTATCAGCTGCTGCATGATTTTGGTTGCAGTACTAACCTCTCAGGCTAATGAGTACAACTTCAATTTCCTCATTGGTAAATCAACGATGATTAAAATGTACCTACATCATAGTAGGATTAAAGCAAATAACTGACAGAACTCCTCAGATACATCAAGACCTGTTCTAAGTGTGCAGTAAATGCTAACAATTATTACCAGAGAGTTATTTATTTTTGTGCCAGTAGAAGGGGGGGGCTTGAACTCCAGTCTCTTTATTTTTTGTCAGTCGTGGGGCTTGAACTCTGGGCTTGGGTGCTGTCCCTGTGATCTTCAGCTCAAGGCTAGCCCTCTACCGCTTGAGCTACAGTGCCACTTCTGGTTTTCTAGTAGTTTATTGGAGATAAAATTCTCAAGGGCAGGGCTGGGAAGTTGGCTCAGTGGTAGAACGCTTGC